CTTACTGTGTCCTCTTGTCCCACAGCTCATTTGATATGTTTTAAAACTACGAAAGATACCTATGACACTCACAAACAACACCTGCAATCCGCAATATCAGCGTCTTTGGTCGACATAAAAGCAACTATCAGTAACCGACCTCACCGTTGCCGTGGCCGTGGTGTCCCATGGCCCATCCAATTTACCTTCACTTTTCGTTATTCTTTTACATTAGCAAAATGATAGGACATTGAAACAACGTGTTTAAAAGGAAAAATATTGTCCGCCCACTTTTGGGACGTTCCCACTTTTGGGAACCACCTCCCGGTACCACCCTCTTGTTCCTGAACCCTGATGTTTCTACGATTGATTGCAGTCTCCTTCCTTTTGTTTCGTTTCGTTTTACAAGGCTTTTTCTTCATTACCAACTGTCCTGAAAAGACTTGCTAAGCTGACACGTACTTCAAGCATTTCCTTACGCGGACCGCCACATAATTACAGTAATCGACATTCCGCGGTCGATTTACCGGAGGTGTGTGAGTAGAAAAACACCGTGACCCACGGCTTATCTCAGCTAAAAACGTCTGTTATTGGCTTTCGAAACCATACAAAAGCATGTTTACCACCTTTGCGAAAATGTTGGGCTTTGAGGGCCGGTGGATCACGACGTTTATGAAATGACCCCCACGCTCTATGTTTGTTTGCCGCCGGCATGACGACCGCGGCGTGGGCGCACTTTTCATCGTGGTCCAAGTAAGTAAAGATAATTTTTTAACGTTTCAGCAGATAATGAACACCTTTGGAATTTATTGATCCGTGTGTTACGACGCTTACGAATTACACATTCCACAGTCATGTTTGCCTCTGGCAATAGACTGCGAGACGTCAAATGGTGAGCTCTGTGTTGCAGTCTGGCTGGTATTCAGACGAAACTAAAGATGCTGACCTTTAATGATTACTGAATCATATAACTTAATGCATTCACTGCTCGTTGTCTGCGGTAAATTTCCTTCGACGCGACGGTTGGTGTACTCCGCAATGCGATCCAAGTAAGTTAATATGTATTTTGGGGAAGGGGGCTTGTCAGACGCCGGAGGTGGACAACTTCGATATGTGATGAATCATGCATTACGACCCTCATGACTCACATTTGGCCTCCGGGAAATCGACTATACCACGCGAGATGGCACACTTTTTGCGATCGTGGCACCGAAGACGGTTTTTGAGCATGCTAGCGTTTTCGGTTGTGCGTGGTAACCTTAAGCACCACAGTTGGTCGACAGGTTTTCACTTGAAGACAGGTTTTCGATTCCCCAGTGATTTATTGTTAAGTAGGCTCCGTCAGGAGCGGATTGCGAGTAACAACAGCGCGAGGACATCACGGCTTCCTCACGTGCTAGGCGGCCGGTTCGAGCCGCCACTGCCAAGGACGCGGCGCTGGCTGGGCGGGGCAGTGACACCGGTCAGTTCAAGGTTCCTCGCAAGTCGGCGGCGGCCGACCGGCCCGCGGGCGCCGCCGACTGCGGTCGGCGTCCCCGGTCTGTTTACCTCCTCTCACGTGTATTACCGCCGCGTCCGGCCAGCGCCAGCGCACGCACACGCATTCCGCGTGCGCGCGCCGTGACAGCCCGAGGCTGGGCGTCGGGGCCGTACTCGAGGTCTTTAACCTGCGCGGCTCCCGATGCGCGAGGGGAGACTGTGGGATCTGCCGCGCGCCGACCATGGCCCAGATCCGGTCAATTCAGGGTCGGCCGGCGGCGGAGGCGTCTCACCTCCTCGGCTCCACCGCGGAGGTGCCTCACCGCCTCAGCCCCACTGCTTCGCCTGTTCCGCTGCTCTGCCGCCGTTGGCCGTTTTTGACTGTCGTGACGGTGGCCGAAGTTCGATGTCATCGTGTCATCTCTGAGGCAGACTTGGTAGCGCAGGGGGTGGCAAACCTGTCACAGGTCCTGACACCCTTGCACTGCTATGCAATAGTTGCACAGCCGGTGGCGATCCGCCGCACTGCTCCTCGCGTCATATTGGCTGTCAGAGAGGACGATTTCCCCACCGAATTTTAAGCCTCTCAGCTTTCGATAGCGGGCCTTCCCACCTAGCATACAGCGAGGTGAGCCTGTGCATTCCAATCACCGTGTTAAATGCCGCTGCAGCCTTCTGAGCGCGGGCGAGCCTTGCGCGCCGTGTGTTCGTGACAGCACCTCCCCGGCGCCCGAGGCAACGTGCCCAATGTCGCGGTGGCGGCCTCGGGCCGGAAGGCCGCCCGTCGCCGGCGGCGCGCCTCGTCCGCTTCCGCCCCCCCCCCTCCCCCCGCGCCTCACGGCGGCAGCGGCTCCTTCCGGCGTCCGCCTGCGCGCTGCGCTCCGCCGTCCGCGACGTCTGGCTGTGGGAGCACTTCCGACCTCGCCGGGAGCAGACGAAGATATCGCCTGCGGACAGCGAGCGTGTTCACTCCAGCAGATGATTTACCCCCCCCCCCCCCCTCTAGTACGCTCCTGACGAATGCTGCCTGTCGCGTGATCCTTTCTGGCATGCTCCTGGCAAGTGCTGCTGGTCGCGTGTCTTCCCCTAGCACGCTCCTAACGAGTGCTGTCCATCGCGTGTCCTCCCCTAGCACGCTCCTAACGAGCACTGCCCATCGCGTGTCCTCCCCTAGCACGCTCCTAACGAGCACTGCCCATCGCGTGTCCTCCCCTAGCACGCTCCTAACGAGTGCTACCTGCCATGCGTCCACCTTTGACACGTTCCTGATGCGATACGTGATTTGGTACGTTCGTTCCTACCTGTCGGCTCCAGCCAGTGAAAACCAGGGGAGCGACAGGCCTTATTGAAGCAGCGTGCCAGCATATGTTGTACCGGTACGGGAGTTATCAGAATGTTTTGTGCCCAGCTGCCGCCGAGCCTTGTCGCACTGGTCCCTAACTCGCCTCCACTCCACCATGCAGCAATGAAGTCCATGCTGGCCGTGGTAGCGCTGGCCGCCGTCGTCCTGGCCGCCGACGACGACGGCAAGCCCAAGCTGAGTCTGCCGCAGGCCGACCTCTGCGCTAGCCGTGAGTTCCGGCTGTAATCTGCCCCCCCCCCCCCCTGCCCCCCCCCCCCCCGGCGACTGCCCTCTGACCCCTCACCCTCATCCCGCTGATTGCACGCTTCAGTTTACATGAAATCTGTGCTCCCTGCAGTGTATGTACACCAGGCACGGGAAATACCACCCTAATCTCCAATCGCTGTCTCCGATATAAATCACGATCTCTGATCCTGGAAACCAGAGGCACGGGATTCGATTCCCCGTGGTGTCCGCCCTTTCAACCCGGGCGATAGGCATGCGATGCATGTGGTCTGCGCGGCTGAGTATGTTGCAAAGCCCCAATGGCAATAATGCTAAATAGCGCTATCTGCAGGGCTAAAAACGACTCCAGTCACTACCACACCCCCGTGACCGCCACGCCGCCGCGTCGTCTCGCGCGACTCCCGCTGAGCTCGCCCACCGTGGTGACATCGCGACACCGCTCCCAAACAATGGCCGTGAATGGCGAGCGGTGTGTCACCACGGCCCGCTCTGACCTGCCCCTGCCTGTCCCCGCCTGCAGGCGCCAAGCACTACAACTTCAGAGGACACAACTACCTGTTCTCCTGGAACACCCAGGACGCCGGCACGCGCACCTGGTTCCACGCGCGCAACTACTGCCGCGACCGCTGCATGGACCTCGTCTCCATGGAGACGGGCGAAGAGAACGAGCAGATGAAGCGCTTTGTCGAGAACGGTGAGAGGACCCGAGAGGACGCGCACGACCCTGCTTCACGGGTGAACGGACACGCGGGACCTTGCCTCACGGGTGACGGACGCGCCAACCCGCCCGCTGGCGGCAATAAGAGGTGTCTACCTGTTGAAAGGCCACGAAGAAGCAGCGGGCAAACATTGGTGGTCAAGCATGAGTGGCCTAGCCCGACAGCGGCCCGGTGTTTGCTCTCTGCCCTATTTCACTACACCGCATTAGGCAACTCCTAGCGGTGGGGTCATGCGGCGGTAGAATAATGGAGTAAATGAGGCGACCGTCACGCTAGCGTTGCGGCCGCACGCCGGGTGACGGGCGTCACAGCCGACCCAGCCTTGACCCGAGACGCTTCGCCTCAGGCGTCGGCCGCTCCCAGTCGGTGTGGACATCGGGTCGTCTCTGCAACTTCAACGACGACTGCAAGCGTGAGGACCTGCAGCCCATCAAGGTCAACGGCTGGTTCTGGGCTACGCCGCGCGTGCGCATGTTGCCTTCGAACCAGAAGACCCCCTTCAACCCCCGAGGAGCCATCAACGATTGGAGCTCGGCTGGACAGTAAGCGCAAAATGCCCCAGACCGGATGTAGCTCGGGGTTATTCAGGAGCCAACCTAAATGCAAGAGTGCACCTTAGACAGCTTTGCTATCTTCAGGGTTTTTCTCATGGCTATTTCTTACTGTTTCTGCGATTGTTCAGAGGCATTGTCCCACATGAATCTGCACTTGTTCCGTTACAACAGCTGCGCTAACTGCCTGTCGGGTACGATGTGTGGTTCGTGTTGACCTGGCACCGACGGAGCTGACCTGCGCGTGCTCCTGCCCAAGGTGCGGTGCTCAGCCGGACCAGTGTGACCAGAGGTCGGATGAGGCCTGCATGACCGTCGGCAACAACGTCTTCAACGACGGCATCAAGTGGCACGACGAGGTGAGCCTGCCGTCCCCGCGGCCTCCACACGTGGCCTGCCGGCTAGGGCAGCAGATAAGTGCAGCGTCGTGATGCCCATCTGGATACCTGGCTCCTCGGGCTGTGTTTCGCCTGAAACAAATTTTGTATTCCGAAGTGTGGTTTTGGTTCCGACGAAAAGGCAAGCAGGTTTGCTGTTACGACCATTTTTGAGCTAATATTTTTCGGATCATGCTGTCATCGTCTGTCGGCTCATTGCTGCCGATGCAGGGAAGACGTGTTGTCCGCGGCTGGGCAAGATGCGGTTCAGGACCTCTGGGTGCTCTCCATGTGACGCGGTGAGCCACGGCTCATTGCATCGTCACGGGCTGCGGAATCCCTGGCGTCACCATGACACCACTGTCGCCGCCTCTTCTCCGCCCCTTCCCCCTCCCCCGTCACGGCCAGGTGGCGCTGCCGCAGTGTGGGGTCCGACCCCGCCGCCGTCGCGGTCCGGCCGCGGTGATGGATGGCCGAGACACGGCTGATCGCGGACGAGCTTCGTAACGCCGGCCGCTCGTGCGTGGAGGCGGCAGGCCAGGGTCGCCGCCGGCGCCCGCCCCAGGCGCCGCGCTGGTGGCGGTCCGGCAGTGGGCCGCGGCCGTGGGCGCCGCTGGCAGAGGTGGTGCCATCTGTGGCGCTCACGTCGCCGCCGCTCCTGTTCCAGACCTGCCACCAGAGCAAGGGCTTCATCTGCGAAGACTCGGACGAGCTGATCAACTTCGTCCGTTTCAACAACCGTCACCTCAACATTTAAAGTGCGCGTTTCGCGTACTGTTCCGGCCGGGCTGTCGCTGGTCGAAGCAGGCCCTCAGTTGACGTCGGATAGAGGTCGGGATGACGTGATGTGATATTCCTCTCGGGCCGGACCGCTGAGGCGAATGCTGAATGGTGCTGTATTTATTCGGCATGTTGTGATGGGAAAAGTGAGCGACATTTACGTGGCGAGTGCAACTTTGGTAATATAAATTATACGCCGTGCACGTGAAGTGTTTTTCGACGTAGGTGTGAAAATATCCGGAAAAATGAAACGCATTTAAGAACACCTTTAATTGCGATTGAAGCATGCGATGTTTATCAGAGTGGTGTCAAAGATCGTCAAATGTCGTCAGAGGCGGAGTCATCGAAGTTTCCAAGGGAGAGAGAGGGCGCACATCTAAGGGCCGCCTAAGCAGATCTCCAGGTCTCCCGCATCAACCCTGATCTAAAAAATCATGCAAACTTCGCCCTTTTTTAAGTCCCTCTCATTCACGCATTGTTCTTAATTAAACCTGTTAGCCTGGTAGGGCTTACTGTCTTTTTAATCGGACCTCTTTTTGGGCCGGCGGTGCTACCTGAGTCTTCCATGGGGCCTCCAATGCGTTGGACGGGTCTTTTTTCGATGAATGCTTTATAATGAACGCCTTGTGCCGACCAAAAGAACCTCATGTTAGCCATCTGAGGTCTCCTACGTGGCAGGCATTGTCTCCTGTCTCGCTTGGAGCCTCTGGTTTTCATTTCCATTGTATGGACCGTTCTCTTTCGTGAGTTCAGACCTTCTGCCGGCGCACTCTCCTGAAATCTGACATTCTAAATGGGAAAATTTGTAACTTGGCCGCCTAAATCTCGAGAGCCACTCGTTATGAATTTCGGAACCTCACATTTTCCGGATCACCTTGGTAATAGGAAAGTTATGAGGTAGCTTGGTCTAGATCGGACCACTGTGCGTGATGCGGCGCGAGTAAATCTAACCTCATAGGGTTAGCACTGGCTGACGTTTGGCTCCACACTTATCGAAGCTTTTCGGAGCAATGAACACTATCGCTGTCACGTGCTAATCATTTGCACATATGTCACTCACGAGGAGCCGAATACGGTGGAAACCGACACGTAGGGTACAGTACAACCCACAAACACGAAGTGAGTGATGGACCCAAAAAGAGGCTCCTTCGCGGCTGTTGATCTGTGGCTTCACACAGATTACAACGTGGAAGTATTAAGCGACGAGTCACCACCAGCGAGCATCTCACCACCAACGTATGCTCCCTTACACTGCGGCAAAGCAGGACAGTTCGCTAACCAACTACCACAAGTTGGCAGATCCAGATATAAGACAATGAAACCAAGTTTCCCCCAGGGCGAACTGGAAAATATACCGAAGGCCCCTCTGGCAAGATCTTCTCGACTTCGAAGATCGATAACAAGGCACAATCTGTCTCAGCAAATAGATCATCTTGGTGACGGAAAGCTTCGTTGCCGTTGACCCTTCGCTCTCGTCGAAAAGATATGCGCTGGGAGCTTGTGGAGACCCAGCATGGGGAGACAAAGACTTGTGAGTCGGCAGACACTTTCCCCAAATCCAGAGGAGACTACGTATTATCCATTGACACTTCTAAGCAGCCTGGAGCCTGCCGGACTGCCTCACACCATCTGGTTCAAGCAGGGCGTGCCTATCATGCTCTTACTCTTACGAAATCCGGATCCCCAAGCGCTGCAATGGTAACGACCATGACAAGCAAGGCCAAAGGTGCGAAGTTCTTCATCCCAAGAATGTCGCTAATCCCATCTGTCGTCCTTTTCAAGCTCAAACGGGTCCAATCTCCCGTCGAGCCATACCGTTATTAGGACCGAGAACCAAAGCCGGCCCCTGCAGTTATGTGAGTATGGGTCTCTTGTATGGGTACATATGCGTATGCACATATGTATGGGTGTCTTGTATTGTGAGTATGGGTCTTGTGTAGGAAGTAAGTATAAAAGAATGGGTCTCAGCCTGACTGCCCAGCGTTTTCCCGGGTTCAGCTTTACGCCGGCAGCTCCTGAGTGAGCGG